CATGTTGGTTTCACTGGTCTTCATGTTGGTTTTACTGGTCTACATGTTGTTCCAAGAGGGTTTTTTGTGCATCCTGATGTGCTACATATGCCCACCAAATTTAGTAAACATTGATTTAACGTCCTGTGGGGGCAAATGGATAAATTGCTGCAGCCATTTTGCCAAACAGGCACATATTGTCTGTGGTTGAGCCGATAGTGACTCGTATGTCAATTCTGGTGAGTTTATGAGCATTCCAAAGCTGTCAAAAAGTCCTTTCCGTGTAATGGCTCAAACAGCCTGTTACCAATAGGTGGCGCTATGACTGTGAACGGATTTGGGCATATGGATGTGATCAGGACAGCAGTCTGATCAAATATGAAAAGTTTGAGGCAGATTGGCGCATGTACAGGGTAGTTAGACAGTACTTCCTCTTTCATGGCAAAGGATCAAACATCAGAGGGCCGCCATGGCCACGCCCTTTGACCTTTGCAGATGATTTTGACATCATTTTACCTTCAAGGCGTATTCTACATGCTTCCCAAATTTCATCGCTCTGTGACTTACCCCCTGGGAGGAGGTAGCTCAGGTTGGACAAACGAACAATCCAAAATGGCAGACTTCCTGTTTGGTTTAGAGTATGGCTGTCACTGACTTTTTTGTTCGTCCTGACCTCCTCCACATATCTACCAAATTGTGTAGGTCTGGGTCAAATGTGCTTCCGATGGGACGCCGTTAAAATTTTCAAGGTGGCGCTGTGGAGCCATTTTGGCATTGACATGTCCAACTCCCTTAAAATATCAAAATTTTCACCAGTCCTGATGTGTGTGGTGATTTTGGTGGGTTATCGTGTATGTTCAGGCCCTCAAAATCGCATTTCAAAAGTCGGTACAAAAACTATCACAAGGGTTCTTAAAATGGCTTCACAGCTTTCTTTTAAGGCGCGAAAAAAAATAAAATCCAGGTCTGTAAACATTATGACATTCTTGTTTTTTTTTCATTTTCTTTTTCCTTTTTAAAATTTATTTACAGAACTTAAGTTTTTGCTCTAAATGACAAACAAGTAATAGGCAAACTCTGAACTAAATCTGAGACAGTGAGGCAACACTGTTGTGTGAAATGATTTAGATTGACCCACATTTACACATAGAGGATGTATTTCATATGTAACTATGTGTAATGCCCTGAAGGGTCATTTGACGCCTCTCAGTGACTCTTGAGTTGGTTCAAGGACCCTGGAATCTGGAATTTAACTCACCATATGCTTGATTAGCGTCAGTGAGTCGCTCCTCAGTTTGTGGTGTGTGAGCCAATCACAGCAGAGGACACAGGTCAGGACGCTGCAGAGGACGACGAGTTGGCCGAGCATGATGAAGATGATCAAGAAGATGAAGGCAATGAAGGTAATGTTGGCAGTGAAGATGCTGAATGTGCTTCCATAATGCTGTTGGTCTGACTTTTAACCAAGCAGAGTGAAAGAGCGAAAGTCCCACCGTGTTTCCATTCTCCCTTTCCGTTTGTAACAGGTAAGGGGAATGCAGGAAATTGCTACTATGCACTCAGGTGTTCTGCACTCTCGCAAAACCAGATCTGAAGCAGTCTGATAAAGTTCCCCTCTGACCTCCTCAGAATTACATGTTTCATCATCTACAGTAACTTTAGTAAATTTAATGAAGCTATATAAAGTTTTACCTCCATACATACTTCCAGAGTTCCAGGCCCTTAAAGTACAATAAAGTGGGTCCAAATTTCTCACTTTTTAATAGATTTTTCCCCCCCCATCACTTCTGAGCCTCATAACTTCATCAACACAGCAGAAAAACACAAGCAACGTTCAGAGCTAAAAAACAAAAAAACAAAACGTGAGTTCTGTTCAAAACTACAACCAAATCAGTTTTACATACACTCCATGTGTCACAATCTAAAGACTAAATTAGATTTTAATTCATTGCTTCTATAACAAAATGTGAGCATGAATATTATGGGATGTATCATACTTTGACCAGTAAAGCCGTTTCATTTTTCGCTCAATACAGAAAGTGAAAGCTGAACTTCAGAATAAAGCTGCTGCTTTATGCGGCTTCGCTGGTTAAAGGTTCGTGTTGTGCTCGTCGATCAGTATCTGTTTATGAAGATTGTTGTATTTGTGTGTGATGATTGTTGTCTTTGTGTTCATAAGGTTTTGTCCGAATAATAAATCACCGCCTGCACACAGTCAGTGAAAGATTCCGCCGTATTTCTGGCGCATGGCTGACAGTGACGTCGCCTCATTTTCACTTTTTGGTTGGGAACTCTCAGCGATGATGTAAGTCTGCGTGATGTAACCGACGGTATTTCTGCTCTAAAATAAAACACACATATACTCATAATCAGTATTTTTTTTTTTTTTTTTTTTACATTTTTTTAAAATTCAGTTTACAACGTTAAGAGTAAAAAAATACCCAGATTAATCCGTGTTATCTAATACAGCGACACATTTCTGATTTATACTTACTGGGCTTGTTGTTACATGTGTTAATACAGTTGCAGAAATATTAGCACAGTTTTTTCCCTCCTGAATTTAGTTTTTGTTATTTTTTTATATTGCCATTGATTTCTTTTAATGTCCATGTGCTGCTGTAACACCTAAATAACAACAACAACAACAACAACAACAAACAACAACAATAATAATAATAGTAAACATTTTTTAGTTAATCTTTTAGAATATTAATAAAATTAATTATCCTGGTTATTGACATTATGTTCAGTTTTCTGTCTATGAATTGAATCTATAGGTTTCTAAAAAACGGCGTTTCAAATTTATTTGAATATTTTGCAACTGATTGATTAAATACAGACTCTGTAATTGTTATGTGATTCATATTTATTATTCAATTATTTAGAGTTAATTTACTGTATGTACCACGTGTATCTGAGTGGACGCGCTGATTGGTCCGTTGGAAGTATCGTCACTGCTATCCTCTGCGGAGCGCTGAATTCGGGCTCTGATTGGGTGACGTGCCAGACTCCGCCCCTTAGCGGAAGCGCCGCAGATCCCGTCTGTTTGGTGAGTAAAGTTGTATTTTCAGTGTTTACCGGACAAACCGCTGACTGTGGAGTGGCAAACCGGCGGAATAAAAGGTTCCAGTGAAGGTCGCTGCTCCGCCGAGTCGTGCTGCTTTGATAAACGACACATTCTCTCAGCTTCGTGATAAACTTTGCAGGTCAGAGCTGCGGTTACCGTAAATCATCTGCAGTCTGTAAACTTTTCATAGAATGTGAAATAATCAGTCGCGTTACTGGTCGCTGGTGAAGCCGAAGTGTTCAGTGGTTCTTCTGAAACTGTGAAACGGTTTCGGTTCGGTTCTGCACTGAGTCAATCTCAGCTGACACCGAAACAAAGTTAGAATTCAAGATTTTCTTAATGCGCTTTGGTCCCGTAGGAGGTTCGTCTGATTCCTGTTGTGTCTGTGCAGGTGTGATGGAGATTCTGGAGTTCAGGGTTCCTGTGGAGAACAACAAGACTCTGTTTGTGTGGAACATCGAACCGAATCTCACTGAGGCCCAGATCCATGTGAGTGTGTTTGTGTGTGTTTCATCCTCAGGGCAGCAGCTCAGGATTATTTCCACTGATAATTATTTTCTGCGTGAATTGATCATCGTTGTTTCTAAAATGTCCGAAAATGGTGAAAAGTGTAAATCAGTGTTTCCTCAAATGCCTTGTGTTGTCTATTCAGTTTACTGTCACAGAGAAGGAAAGAAACCAGAAAATATTCACATTGAAGAACCTGCAATCACAGAATTTAGACAGCTTTTATCAAAAAAAAACTAGTCAAACTGATAAATCAGTTATTTAAATAGTTAGAGATTCATTTAATAGTAACAATAACAACAACTGATTTCATGTTTGCAGCTGTTTTATTGACCTATTGATGTTTACATGTTGCTGATGTTGATGATGATGTCAGTGTTTACATGTTGTTGTCGCCGGCAGGTCCAGCTATTTTCTGTGTTCTCAGCCTTCGGTCCTCTCTACCTGCTGAAGGTGAGTCCGAACGCTCCGCTCCACCCTCCAGGGTTCTACGCGCTCATCAAGTTCTACTCTGCAGTTCAGGCTGCCGAGGCTCAACGGCTCACGGACGGAAAAACGCTGTTCCAGAGCTCGCAGCTGAAGGTCAGCATGGACTTCTTCAATTCGAATCAGTTTTATTTATTCACCAATTTATGAATATGTAATCTTAGGTTTCACAAAGAACTTACAAAATTATACAGAGAAATGACCAAACCAAAGTTTCCTTTGAAATGCAACAGTGAAAGACAAACTGCTATCACCCAGTATGAGAACCGGACTCAGGGAGGCAGACATCTGCCTCGGCCAGTCAGGGTGAGGGTAAAGAGGAGAGAACAGATGGAGACCAGACACACACATTAAGTCACATAACCAGGCACAAACAAGCAGCAGTTCTGAAAAGTGATTTAAAAGATTTGTCCACGTATCAGCTCCAACATCATCCATCATCCAAAACATCACAGGGACACTTAATACCCAAAAATCACAACAGACTTTTTCTACAAGTTTAAATCTATTAGGCAACAACATGTAATAGACTTAATAATACAACTTTACTGTGATGAAAACAGACATTAACAGCTTAAAGAATATTGATGCTCACCAATAATGATGTAATCAGAGTACTTTTCCCTCCAAGATATTAAAAGGAACTGCAGTTTGTTTGGATCTATTGTCACTAAATTAGTTTAATATCTGTGCTAATATCCAGCAGATAGCAGCAGGATCCATGATTCTCCAAACAGACAGGGCTGTTGCATTTGCCCACTGAACAACAGCACCAGTGGCTAATTAAAGTCTCATAACTAATTACTGAGAGCGGATCGGTCCGGACCTGAATTAGACAGCAGGTCACACTGTGTAGGTCCACATGTCTTCACCTCAGACAGGTGAGCTGTCACAGACCCACAGTTTAGTTTCAGCTGTTTAGGACTATTTCTTCATAGTTTGTTACAAACCTGCAGCATCAGACAACAACAGGATCCAAACAGAGAGAGCTGCTGGATTTACACACTGAACCGACGCAGTGGTGTGTTAACCCTGTTTAACTGTAAGGAGAGGAGCTGGATACTCTGTTACTGTGTGTGTCTGTTGTGTGCCTGTGTGTAGGTGAGGCTCAGCTCCAAACAAACTCCTCCCCTCATGGCCGGCAGCAGCAGACCTCTAAGCCACGCCCACTGCCTGGAACTGGCCAATCACTGCCTGGGATTCAACGGCTGGACCTCTGAGATCATCACGGTGAGAAACACACCTGTGATTGGTTGTCTCAGGTGAGTTCAGGTGTCCTCATGTTTGTGTGTGTGTGTGTGTGTGTGTGTGTGTGTGTGTGTGTGTGTGTGTGTGTGTGTGTGTGTGTGTGTGTGTGTGTCCTCAGCTGAAGGAGCTCACCAACGAAGATGAAGAAGAAGGTGAATGTGAAGGTGAGGAGGGCGAAGTCAAGAAGCTGAGGATGGGCTGTCTGCTGCAGCTCTGCTTCCCCCGACACCTGAGGAGCAGCAGGGGAGCTGCAGTGCTGGAGGACACCTTCACCTGCACAGGTAACATGCTACAGGTAACACTGTACAGGTAACACTGTACAGGGGTGTGCTGTGTTTGTTCAGTCAGGATGTTTTCTATTGCCATGTTTTGGACTCAGTTGAATCTGTCTTCTTGTTTGTGGAGCGATGCTTTGTCCTTTGGGCAGAGATGTTAATGATTAATAAATTTAATTTCAGTTAATTATTCAACTAATTAAAAACATATGAATCAATGATGCAGCAGACGAAGGTCATGCGTGTCAGAAAATATATGATAGATCAGCTGTAGTACCTGGCTGTTCCACCAGGTGGAGCCTCTTACTGTTTAATACTGTAGAGACCAGAGGAGGTGTCACTCAGACGACAGGCAGTTCATGTTGGCAAGCTGACAGCATTGTGGGAGTTTAGCTAGAAATGGGCACCATGACACTTAATGACATGCAACTAATGTTCCAGTATTGTTAGCTGGAGCCTATTAAATGAGACATTTAGAATAAAGTGAATTTGATTTAATATCACAATTTTAGGCTCAGATTTGGTCATTTTTTTCTGAAGGAGCTGTACGTTACACATGATGTGTTCAAGGACTGTCAGCAAGTTGAAAATCTGACGTTGCACTTTGTTTTTAAAGTTTCTGCCTCATAAATGGTGAGATTATTTTCAAGATAAATGTGTTTGTGGGTAGAAAGAGTAGCAGCCACTGTACAGACTGTTAATTTATTATACATCAGTTCTTATGGGTAAACTGGTTGTTCTGTCTCTATGATGTTCTCACTTTATTCCTGGTGTCAGATCGCTGTCAGCTGGTTTCTGCTGGGCTTGTCTGTTAGCAGTACATTCCAGGGAGGCAATTCCTGGATCATAAAATAACTTTATTTAATGAAGCCATCCAAATTTTACCTTTAGTCCATTAAAAAGTGTGGAATTTGGACCCACCTCAAGGGCCTGTAACTCTGAAAATATTCATCGTATGAAGGTAGAACTGTAGATAAATAATCAGCTGGTTCTGAGGAGGTCAGGGGGGAACTTTATCAGATCTGGTTGGTTCCTCTAAACAGCTGTTACCTCTAAAGGTTCTAGTCATTTCTAACAGAAAGGTGAACCTCATGTCTGTGTCTGCAGGTGCTGATGTTGTCCTGCAGAGGCGCTGTAGGCTGCAGAGGTTGGTCAGAGAGAAAGCTCTGGTTCAGGCCTTCACCGCTGTGCTGCTCATCCTCCTCGGTACGCCTGTCTACCTGTGCTCAGGATGCACCTGTCTGATCCACTTGTGCAGCAGCAGAAACACCTCTGTCACTGTGCTGACGACACACCTCACCTCTCTCCGCAGGTAACGGGAAGGTGATGGTGGAGGTGAAGCAGAGCTCAGATCACCTCCTACCTGACGACACCGAAGGAATCCTGCAGGTAAGCTCACCTGTTCTCAGCTCACCTGTTCTCAGCTCACTGTTGATCCAAACACTCTGAGCCTCAGTATTCATTACAGTCAAGTAAAGGTGTGTTTTATAGAACGCCTGTACAGATTTCATCATTAGTATTTAAACTGTTCACATGGATTTACAACATACATGCAATGATGGTGTAGCTGATGAAGAAGTAGTTCATTAACTTGTGTAGCTGATGACGGTGTGGCTGACGTAGCTATGTGTTCCCCAGGTGAATGAGTTCTCCTGGGTGGATGTTCCTGCAGATGAAGATGTTCCTGCAGATGAACAGCTGGACTTTACAGTATCATAGAATCTGTGAGTAAAACACACCAACAGAATCTGATGCTGAAGCTTTTATTGCAGTGAAGCATGACACTCTTCTGAAGCTGTATTTCTGTTTGAACTTTAGTTCCAGACGTGAAGAACTTTTATCTGCCGTTTCTGTCCCCCAGCGCCTGCCTCCCAGCCGGAGTCAGGTTCAGATTCCCTCCAACCACAACGAAGCCCTGCACACAGCACAGACCAGTTCAGTCTCCCAAAATGACTCAAAAGTTCTTAAAAATAACAAAACCTGTTAAATGTGACTGAAATTGTTAAAAATGACAAAACCAGGACAGAACAAGATGCTTCTTGATAATCAGCAGCTCAGTGACCATCACTACAGTCAGACGACCAGAGGACATGAACGCCTCACGTGGCCACTGGGGGGCGCTAGATGACCAGTATCCTGTCATCCCAGTAGAAGAACTTTGTGGAGTTAAACAGGACTTTGGAGACTCACATTGTGATACTCGACTATGCCCTGAGTGAAGATCACTCCTTCAGGCAGAGGAACTGGGACTCCACCATAGAACCAACCTGACAGAAGAACACAAGTTAAAGACATTTGAACAGACTGTTGCAGTGAAGCTCCTCATGCTGCTGGTTACCTTCCAGGAAGTCGCTCAATCTGTCGTTCAGCAGGTCTTGCATAGGTCTCACCTGCACAGCAACAACACACACTGTTACAGCTGCTTCCAAACATACCTGGAATCATTGTTTAATTAGTCAGGAAACAAGTTTGTACCAGTATTTGTTTAAGCTGATTGCTGGTGACAATGCGACACCTGGAAAGGACAAACAAATTGTTAAATACAATCAAATATGACATGATAATTCGTGCGTGTGTACTTACTGTACGTTACTGTAAGGAAGGTTGAGACGGTTCCCCTGAGCAGATCCCTGAATGGTCACCATCAGACTCACTTGACAGGTCTGCAAGACAAAGACAGGAAAAATTAAACGTCAGTCTCAAAGTGCTTTCAAAAAGGTAGTTTCTGTAGTTATAAAGTCATTCAGAACATCAGAGTACAGCTACAGTACCAGTCAAAAGGTTGTACACACCATCTCATTCAATGGCTTTTATTTATTAGAATAATAATTGGAACTGCTCGGATTATTATTATTATTCGTGCCAAAGACGCGTTTTTGAGGCCCTAAACATCCTCGAAAACTCACCAAAATTGCCATGTACATCAGACCAAGGTTATTATAGTTAACGAAAACGAACGAAATAACGAAAACTAGAACTGAAAAAACATTTTTGTTAACTGAAATAAAAATAAAAACGAGAGTTTAAAAAAAAAAACGATAACTAACTGAAACTGTATTGTGTGTTTACAAAACGAACTGAAACGAACTAAAATTGTAGTTAAAATGTCCTTCGTTTTCGTCTTTGTTAATTTATTCCGTATGTGAGGCTTTTGTGTAGATATGAACTCTATTTACTTCGCTCTGCCGGGTTTACACCAGCTGTTCCCACCGTACGGCGCCTCATGCCCCGTGACGTCACGTGTGGACAATCTGCAGCTCAGCATGATGGCCTCGGCGAGAGTTGTGACTCGGTTGCCTTCAAAAAGTTCAGCACTTCACTCGAACCAAAATTCAAAACACCCGGAGCGGCAAGAGTCATTAAAGAGGCGAGGAAGGTGAGCTTATGTGTCGATGGTTGGAGCAAGAGAGGATTAACTGCATCATTCATGGGGGTGTCAGCTTGTTTTTACCATCCGCAGGGAGGCCAGGTCCACCATGCTCTGCTGAACCTACACCGAATGGAGCACCCACACACCGGGGAGTCCATTGCCCGCTGCATTGATCAGACGTTAGATGCATGGGGCATTGGAGAAGATAAAGTGCTGCTTATTGTGACTGATAACGGCTCCAACATTGTCAAGGCTGTGCGACTTCTTGGGGAAAAAAGGCGCCAGGAAAGTGAGGATTCAGCTGATGGTTCACAGGCTCACCCAAGAGGTGCTGGAGCTGACCAGGATGACCTGTGGTTCCAGTCAGAGTCGGAGGAGTCAGACATGGAGGATGAGGAGAGTGGAGGCCTCGGTGAGTGTGGGTTTTTTGATATATATATTTCACAATGATAAACAGCATTCAAGGATTTACTTGATAGTTTCCCACTGAGATCAACAGGGGAAAAGGGAGGAAATTCCTATTTTACTTGCTCTCATTTACTGCAGTTATGTGTTTCATACATACTGCAGATAACCTTTAATCCTGTGTATGCAGCAACCTTCCTCAACCTTGGAGATATCTGTCATGATAATGTGGCCCCTTTCCCTTGTTGTTTTTTGTCTTTTAAATCTAAAATGACCAATAATATTTAGACCAGTCATTATTGACTTAAAAATATTAGCAAAGGGTTTGTCAATTAGCCTATGTCAGTATGATTTTGGCTACTGACATAGGTCTGTTCAAAATGGAAAAAAAAAATTACAACCCAATTCCAACCTGTTAAAAAGCAAGTAGCCTATTCTAGTTAAAAATTTTGACATTGACACATAGAATCTTCACTTTGACATTGTTTTTATTGTCATTTCCTATGATTTGCTATTCAGGATTCCAATTAATTATGGAGACACAATATAAAACAATGTGTCATACAGTGGAAACAAGTT